GCCGAATAATGCGAAAAGTTTTGAATATCTCTAAAAGTCTGTAATATCTATAGAACCAACTCCTAAATTTTTATCAATAGAACTATTTTGTGATTTTTTGAGGATTCCTGTGCGCTTTTAAACTATTAAAATAAGCTATTGTAAGCCTGCTCGCTAACTCTAATTTAGACGAAAAATCAAAATTTACAAACCGGTTTTTCTCGACACTGAAAAAAAATTTTGAGATTTTTAATGCCTTCGAATCACAATTTAAACGGCTTAAAAATGATCTCTAGATTCAAAAAAAAAAAGAAAAAACACTAAAACACCCGAATACAAAACTTCTCCCCATTTTCAGTGATCGGAACAAAAAGTCAACATTTTTTTGAAATACCAGTATTCCTTAAAGTTACATTTATTCTACCAGGAAAGCTACAATTTAAATGATGATTGTAATCGTCAGGAATGCTCAAAATGTTTTAAAGTTTTGAAGAATTTGCTTTTAAGTGTGTTTTTCTTAAATGCTCTGTTTAAAATAAATCCATAAAATATCAGTTATATTTCAATCTAGAGATTGTGGGTTTGCGTCTTTTGGCTGACCGACTTCTTGGTCCTAACTTGATCGTCACGTTCCAAACTTACGGCATTTTTCTGACAAAGTCGTAAACTGTAGGCTTAAAACTTTTTGTTTTTTTTTTCGATATTTTACGTAAACTACAATTTTTTAAGTGAAATTTCAAAAATTTGGAATTTTTTAAGAAGCAAAATAAGCCCATAAAAGATGAAGAGTTTTTTTGTTTCAATGTTTGAAGTGACAATAGTCTAAATATGTCTGAGGAGAGGATTTTTTTTTTCAAAATGATTAACGCTATTTCAATTTTATTATCACACCAATAGCTCGCTATTTTCACACCATAAATCAGCGCTGTATGGTTGCTCTGCGAAAAAAAATTCTGTAAAAATGTTGTGAAAACAAGTACGAATTAATTGAGCCTTTTTGTCAAAACAATTATTTCAGGCCAGACGAAAAATCCAGTTCACAATCAGACAAAAGCAAATCACTTGCAGAAGAAGGAGAGGTTCAACAACCGGATGGAAACAAATCCAATCCAAAGGTCGGTTTAGACCCGGAGCATGGAAAAGGGAACAGTCCAAATAATTCCAGCGATGCAGATGCAACCCCAACTGAAGATGAGGATATTGATGGATATTGGCGCTCCTCCTTCCGCCAATCTTGTGGTGAGCTCGACCACCAGTCGTATGATCTGTTTTCATTTCCTGACATCTCGATCCTTGAGTCTGTTTTTTCTCTTTTTCTCAGTACTGGTCATTTTTTGATTTTGCAATTATTTAAGACTGACTGTTTGCTGGGTTGATTTGACGAAAGAGTGATTTGTTTTTGGTGAACTGTTGTTTTTAGCTGTTTTTGCAGTCGTGGAAACTGTTTTCTCTCGTTCCGGTCGAGCTTTGTTCGGTTTTGACCGTTTTGGTTGCTATAGCAACCATTACTTGATGATTGTTTCCTAGCATTCCTTCTAGAACATTCTAGAACGTTTTCGTTCCGGTTGAGCGACCTTGATGCTTTAAGCCTACTGTTCCAGCAGTCGAATGCCTCATGAAAGGAGTTTATTGTCGCTACTACAAACTTTTCGTCTAATTCTGATTCGGGCCAGGGATCATTGAAAGGATCACGCGATAAATAATCAACTATGCCCATATCCCTCCCCGGAATGTGAACTATGTTGAACTGATATGGCAGTAACCGGTCAACCCACCGGGTTAAACGTGATTGGTAGGTCTTGTTCGATTGGTTAACATCCAATGCTGTTGTAAGCGCTTTGCGGTCAGTTGCGATGGTAAATGGTTTCCCCAGAAGGTAGTGTTTATATCTATCTACTGCCCAAACAACTGCCAATAACTCCAACTCATTTGTTGAATATTTTTTTTCTTGGGCGTTTAAGTATCGGGATGCGAACGAAATTGGGACCCATAGCTCTTCATCATTTTGTTGTTCTAAAGTAGCCCCTAGCCCATCATGGCTAGCTTCGCATTTAACTCGTGTTTCACGATTTGCATCGTAATAGTGTACTTTCGTAATATTTGCCACCGCCTCTTTTATAGCATTAAATACTACTGTGTGATCATCTCCCCATTCGAATTTTTTCACCGGGAGTTTCATGTTTTTTTTAATTTTTTCTTTTGATTTTCTTCTTTAAGAAGTGGTCTTAATCTCTCAGTCAGACTTGCTACGTTAGGTATAAATTTAGCTAAGTGATTTATGCTTCCCAAGAATGACCTTAGTTGCTTTAGAGATTTCGGCGTGTTCAAGTTTACTACCGCTTCCGTTTTAGTGATTTTTGGTCTAACCCCTTCTTCTGAGAGATGATGACCCAACCAATTCACTTCTTGTTTGAAAAATTCACATTTTGATAGTTTCAATGCCAAATTTTCCGCATCCAATTTCTTTAATACTGCTTCTACTAAGTTTGCATGTTCGATTTCACTTCCCTTTGACACAATAAGTATGTCATCCAGAAAACAGAACGTGTTTTTGGCGTGGTTGATGGTTCTATCCATGGCCTTTTGAAATTCAGCTGGCATATCTGCTAGACCATAGAACCCTGTCAAGAATCTGTAAGTTCCAGTTGTTTTTCCGCCAACAATATTAAAATTGCATTGCCTAGCTGTATCAGCAGCCAATTTTAATTGACTGTACGCATATTTCAAATCTAACACCGAAAAATATAGCGTACCCTTTTTGTTTTTGGTAACAATCTGGCTTACCCCATCAATAAGTTCATCTACATTTGGCATTTGGTATTTGTTTTTGAACAATTGCCTATTGATTGGTTTTGCATCCATTGCCAATTTTATTGAGTCGTCCTTCTTTACTGTTATCACAATCGGGGCGATAAAGCAATCACTTGTACATTTATCAATTTTTGTTATATGACCTTCTGTCAATAACTTCTCGATTTCTTTTTCGACTTTATCTTGTATGTGAATTGGGTTTCTTCTCCCCTTTTGTTGAATCGGACATAGTGGGTATTTGAATTTTGAACTGACAATGTGATTTTTCGAAATGCCTTGTCTTTCAAATAAGTTTTTAAATTTAGTGAAAAATTTTTCTTTCCAACCTTCTGACTGCTCGCACATGAGCACGTCAAACCTGGTGAGTTCTTTTGGCGCTGGTCTTTGTGTAGTCAATATTCCCACTTGTCCTTGCAGGTCTAATCCCATGATGCATCTGGTTTTTCGTTCTGATACCAGAAAGGTTGCGCCCTTTACTTCCCAGCCCGCTGACCTCAGATTGGTTTTTAGGGCTCCCAGAATACTGATCGGTTGTTTATTGTAGTCCACAAATTTGGTTTGTAAGTTCAATTTATCGGACGGTATGAATCTCACTTTGTTTGATTTTTCCATAATTTCCTTTGTCGTGGCCCAGTTGAGAAATGAAACAGGACTTCCAGTGTCCACTGTTAATTGAATTATCTGATTATCTATTCGTACCATGGCCTTTAGTGATTTTACGCGATTCAATGTTGGATCGCGAATCGAATCTATTTTCTGAACTCGTACCACTTTTCCGTCTGTTTTGTTTCTCATTTCGTTGATTCGGTCTTTCACATATTTTGAAACTTGCTCATTTTCCGGTTGGTAGGTTTGTATCGACATAACTTCAAATTCACTACATGACCCAACACCTTCACTGATCTGATCGCATTCCTCTACCGATCCTTCCGATTCTTCCGCAACTTCACTTACTTGTTGGGATCTGCACATTTTAGCGAAATGATTGGGTTTGCCACAATGTTTACAGGTTTTCCCCATCGCTGGACAATTTTTTAGGTGTCCCTGTTCAAACGTCCTTCCACATCTATTACATGGTTTTGTTTTCGTGTTTTGATTCTTGTTATTATTCTGTCTTTTATGCGTTTCTCTTCTATTTGGAGTTTTGGTTGTCCCCCCCAAATTTCGAACTGCCATTACAGGTTCCTGTTTTACCCTCACACCCGAGGTGTAATTGCTACTTGATCCCCCTGTAGCCCCAGCATTAGTCTTCTGAAACGCCATTGTGGTTAACTTGCTATGTTCGAATTTTATAGCCCTTTTTAAAACTTCCACCGATCTAGAGTTTCGAATGTCAACGTGTCCTGTAATGTCATGTTTTTCATTTTCGAGATGAACAGGTCTCGCACTATTTCATTTTCCAATGCTCCCAGTTCTGATCGGGCTGCTTGAGCAGTTAACGCTGCGTGGAATGATTCTAGAGATTCTCCAGATTCTTGCATTCTCGTAAATAACTTGTATCTTTCGTATGTTACACATTTTACCTTTTGAAACGAGACTTCTGCCAAATCTGTTATTTCCCTGAACGTCATTTTCGATATTTCAACGTGCGGGTTCTTTTGTAGGAATCTCTTCTTTCCCTCTGTACCCAAAGATAAAAATAATCTTGACACCAGTTTCTTTTGTACTTCGTTGTAGAAGACATTGTGTCCGACTCGTGGGCCTCTTGTCTTTCTGTCTTCATTCTCCAATACTACTCTATCCCTTGCTAGCTTATCTCTAAGAATCCTAGCGTTCCTCGCATCTTCGTTCTCCCCATCCCTGGGCGTTTCCGGGCGTGGTGGTGGTTCCTCTAATATGTCTTTTGGTTCTTCCAAAATAATCTCTGGGTTCACATTTTCTTTGACCGTAACCGCCATGAGAAATTGTTCGAACCAAATTTTAAATTGCCACGGAGGGTCTAGATTCGCTGATGCCCAAAATACCGGAATTCCCATATCCGTTCTGTTGTCTTGAGCTGCGAATCCTGCTGGCTGCGCCATGTGATATGCCTTGCGATATCGATTGAAAACAAGTTGTAATTCAATACTGTATTTTGGATATTGAATTTAGGTTTTCTGTTTCTTTTAATTTGGTGTTGTACTGAGAGATAGATCATTGTTAAGAACTCTGATCTCTCGCTTAATCTCAGTGTCATCACTTACGTATGACCTTGAGCATACCATAAAATAATGATTGAGCACCAAAGGTTAGCTGTACATACGTATATAAATACTGCTACTGCAGTAGCGGTATGACAACCCCCATCCTTCAAAATTGCAAGCTCGCAACACGTTGGCGCGACTGCGGCGGTCAGTATTTGGTTGTTTATGTTAGTTGAACAAAGGAAAATTCTCGGCCTACCGGCTTGTCAAACAATTATTACTTGGGACTGTTTTTCGGACTGTTTTGTGTCGGCTGTTTTTTTGTTCATTTTTATACTTTTGCGGACTGTTTTGTATTGGACTGTTTTTTCGTTCATTTTAATACTTTTGCGTACTGTTTTGTATTGGACTGTTTTTTAGTTCATTTTCGTACTTTTGCGGACTGTTTTGTATTGGACTGTTTTTCCGTTCATTTTCATTTTTTTGCGGACTGTTTTGTATTGGACTGTTTTTCCGTTCAATTTCATTTTTTTTGCGGACTGTTTTGTATTGGACTGTTTTGTATGGGACTGCTTTGTACAGACGCGAATTTTTTGGCTCTTGCCTTTTTTTCTCCCCTTTCGCAATTTTACAAGTAAAATTATTGTTCGCGTTATCCGATTGTTATGATTCGAATAATGGGCTCTTTTCCAGTTCCCCCCTTTCGAATTCAATTTTGAAAAGTCTATATAACGTTGTCATAATGCAATGAAATTTGGCGTGGTGAACAAATCGACAATTTTGAACAGATTTTTTCTTCATACTTTACAGCGTAACATCACGCATTTAGCCATTTAGTCCTGATAACACGTAAAAAAAACATAAAACTCGGTATTTTGAAAGGGGGGAACTGGAAAAGAGCCGAATAATGCGAAAAGTTTTGAATATCTCTAAAAGTCTGTAATATCTATAGAACCAACTCCTAAATTTTTATCAATAGAACTATTTTGTGATTCTTTGAGGATTCCTGTGCGCTTTTAAACTATTAAAATAAGCTATTGTAAGCCTGCTCGCTAACTCTAATTTAGACGAAAAATCAAAATTTACAAACCGGTTTTTCTCGACACTGAAAAAAAATTTTGAGATTTTTAATGCCTTCGAATCACAATTTAAACGGCTTAAAAATGATCTCTAGATTCAAAAAAAAAGAAAAAACACTAAAACACCCGAATACAAAACTTCTCCCCATTTTCAGTGATCGGAACAAAAAGTCAACATTTTTTTTGAAATACCAGTATTCCTTAAAGTTACATTTATTCTACCAGGAAAGCTACAATTTAAATGATGATTGTAATCGTCAGGAATGCTCAAAATGTTTTAAAGTTTTGAAGAATTTGCTTTTAAGTGTGTTTTTCTTAAATGCTCTGTTTAAAATAAATCCATAAAATATCAGTTATATTTCAATCTAGAGATTGTAGGTTTGCGTCTTTTGGCTGACCGACTTCTTGGTCCTAACTTGATCGTCACGTTCCAAACTTACGGCATTTTTCTGACAAAGTCGTAAACTGTAGGCTTAAGACTTTTTGTTTTTTTTTCGATATTTTACGTAAACTACAATTTTTTAAGTGAAATTTCAAAAATTTGGAATTTTTTAAGAAGCAAAATAAGCCCATAAAAGATGAAGAGTTTTTTTGTTTCAATGTTTGAAGTGACAATAGTCTAAATATGTCTGAGGAGAGGATTTTTTTTTTCAAAATGATTAACGCTATTTCAATTTTATTATCACACCAATAGCTCGCTATTTTCACACCATAAATCAGCGCTGTATGGTTGCTCTGCGAAAAAAAAATCTGTCAAAATGTTGTGAAAACAAGTACCAATTAATTGAGCCTTTTTGTCAAAACAATTATTTCAGGCCAGACGAAAAATCCAGTTCACAATCAGACAAAAGCAAATCACTTGCAGAAGAAGGAGAGGTTCAACAACCGGATGGAAACAAATCCAATCCAAAGGTCGGTTTAGACCCGGAGCATGGAAAAGGGAACAGTCCAAATGATTCCAGCGATGCAGATGCAACCCCAACTGAAGATGAGGATATTGATGAGTCAGAGGCTCTGCCAGAGGCCAGTAAAGGTCAACCTGGTCAATCAGAGGCCAGCAAAGGTAAGCGAGGTCCATCGCAGGCCAGTAAAGGTCAACCAGGTCAATCGCAAGTCGGTACAGGTCAACGTGATGGTGCTACAGAAGGTCAACCAGGTTCAACCATGGCATCCCGGTCAGCTGTAGGGTCAAAAGGACAAAAAAGTTCAGGGGCATCCAAGCAAAACAATTCGCAGTTGAAGAACACTGATTCGTCCTACACTTACAATGTGCCGTCTACTAGTGTGAAAACTCCTAGTGGCAGGTAATATCAAAAACTAACTCACAAGCCAAAATTAAACATAGAGAAAATTGCCGAAAAACCCACAAAAAATTAATTTAACAAAAAATTTAAGTGCAATCCGTGATTCTAAGTGAGCGTTTTTTTATTGATACAATATATTGGGGGTTTCTAATACGAGCCAATTAGTAAGATTTTTATATTTATACATTGTTTCTCAATATACAAGCAACATCAGCTGTTATTTCAATCATTGATACAGTTTCACGTAAAAAAATAATGAAAAATCAGTTTTGTAGAGTACCTGAAAGCCATTTTCTTAATCAGTTTTTAATTACTTTCAGATATCCGGAAGGCATGGAAAAAAAAGAAAGAGAGTCCAAGGCTAGCGCAAAAACTATGAGTCAAGATGGTGGCGGAAACAGTAAAGCCCCCGACACCAAAGTCGCTGGAGGCACCCAAGCTACGCAGTCGCTATCCAGGTCAGTCGTGGACGACGGAAAAACCACAACTCAGGGTGGCACTAGAGCCGATATGTCAAAGAGCCGAAAAAGTGGCGGCGGTGGCGGAGCGCCAACTGAACCCGGCGATTCAAAACTGTCCAAATCCCGTTCGGTTGTTGGTACTGATTCACAAATTAGCGAGGATACTTACATTGTGCCGAATAATGAAGAAAAGGGAAGCCAAGGGAGTTCCCAGTTTCCCGAAGGGCTGGACTCACAAGAAAGGGAAGATTACGCCGGAAGAAGTAAAAGATCAAAGTCGGCTGGGAAGTCGCAAAAAAACTCGAATCCGAGTAAATCTCACGTCGCCTCCGACGAATCATTGCTTTCCCAAGTAATAAAAGCCGACAAGGAAAACAAGTCGGATGTGAAATCGAAAACCGGATCCCAAAGTGAACTTGAAAGCAACGAGGCTGGCTCAAAACCTCCCACTGGCAAGAGCGGAACGAAAGCATCCAGAAGATCGAATTACTCGCAAAACGAGTTGTCGGCAAACCCGAACTCGAAAAGCATCGTTCAAACATCTTCCTCGGATCCTGATAAAAGTGGCGAAGGTGATGACTCAGCCGACAAAACTCTAACGAGACACTCAAAGCCGAGACAAAGCAGCAAGTCGCGAGGCAGTTTGCGAAACGGAAAAAGAAGCGAGGCGTCGAAAGACCCTGACTCAACAGGAAGATTCGAAGAGCCGGAGGGAACTAGATCCGATTTGAAGACCGAGAGTTTGTCGCCGGATCTGAAAAACAGTCGGTCCATTTCAGCTTCAACGACTAATAGGGGAAGCCAGACTGCGGATATGAGTCGTACTCGAGGAACAGATAGTCGGATTACATCTTCGGCTGGTGGGACTGGGACTACAAACACGACGGGTAAATCAGACTCTCAGGGGAAAAGCGGCAACACTTCCAGTTCATTGAACCCATTCGAAGAGTACTCCGGGAAGGAGGAAAACTCGGGAGAACCCCAAGACGCGAGACGAGAGGCGCCGAATAAGTCGTTAAAAAGGTATCTAATACGATTTATTGTTATATTAATTTAAAATCACATAATTAAAAATGGTCAATTGACTGTACCTGAAAAAAGTGACAGTTATTTCGGAACCATTGTTTCATAATTTAAATTAAAAATCATTAAACATATACATATGTGCTCAATTGTTTTGCGGAGCTTCATTTTGCGGGTTGATACAATTTGAGGGAGAAAATAGCAATGGTGAAAAAAAATTGTTCTCATTAACTATAGCATATACCTAATGGGTTCATTCGGAACATTCAGAAAGTTGCCCTGATATGAACAGTCTCGCTTATTGTGTAGCCATTGCGTTTCATATAAAAACAATGAGACTCTCTTAGGCATAAAAAATGCTCATCAAAACAAGCAGCCATTTTAAACGTCTCCTTTCTCCAGGTTCAATTTTTCCAAAACAACACTTGCTACACTATTTTTGTGTTCGTCTTGAACACAAAGAAAAAACTAAAAGTTTTCAGCATACTTTCAAATCGGCAGACATTCATTTTTTGTCGGTTTTTTTCCTCTTGCTAACAATTTCAGCTTTATACAGAGCACTCTTAATGAACTTTTTTTTCCGACGTAAGAATCAGTTTGGATCCACAGAAAACGGCTCCTGCTGATCACCTATGCTTGAGAACCAATCTATTCAAATTGAGCAAGTTTTTCTTATCACTTTGTGAAATACGAAATTGATTAAAATTCCTCAGAAAGCTTTCTGCTCGGTCGCTGTGAGCTTGGAAGAGAAAGATTCAACTACAGCTTTTACTGCAGAAAAAACTAATCAAGTAATTAACGCATACTTTTAAACAAATTTTTAAATCATTTTTTGGTCATGCAATGTTTTTGATGTTGCTTAAGGGGCTTGGCAGATTTTTTTAAATCTTTGAGGACTATTCGAGGTCTAAATATTACAATAACTCATTAAATGCTTTGTTATTTGATGTGGGAGTATGAATTTCGACAGCCCGATGCTTTATATGTGTTAAAAAATTAGGATACCACTCGTAGTTGTATAAGAGTGTACTTAAGCTAAGAATAGATTAAGATTACGGATGATTAAGATTCCTACTAAAAACAGTAGGCTTTTATTCAAGACTAAATAAAAGACGGTGATGCTAACTAAAGTAAGAGAGGTTTAAAAGATTGAATTGGTTTCGGTTTGTTTGTTACGTATCATAAAAGATAGTGGCCAATTCCGAGTCTACCAAAAGCCGTTGCGCTTTTGGCAGGTGTATAAATTAACAACTTAAAGGTCAACGATCAGTAAAGATCAGAGGTTAAATGAACAAACAATAATACTTTTACATGTTCATCAGCAATAACAAAAATTCAAAAACAAACCACCTTAGATCGAATAGTATGTTCTCGTCGGGTGAAATAAATATAGACTGGTTACTATGGGCGAGCAAGAAACTGGAATAGCACCAGGGTAAATTGAGCAGTAAGGTAGGCAGCGAGTTATCCTTAGAATAGTCAAAATAAGTGGGTAATACTAGGATGGATAAATCTAATGGTTATCCGGTGGTAGCGCCCAATGGGTGAAAAGAATTTTACCGACATTTTGGCAAAATTATATGGCTAAAGCAAGGTTACAAGTGTGACCAATCAACTTATTAGCTTAATATGACAGCACTGAAAGTTTGTATGATTCTATAGCAATGGAATGTTAATAGCATTCGGCAATACACAAGATACTAAAGATACTAAAAGTTTTGTAAAGAAGTTTTTGAGAGTTCATGAATGCTTATGATAACATCTGGATTGGAGCTCCTACATCTAATTAGTTTCCCGATTTGCTGCCTTGTTTATTGTCCATCTCCTTAACTCCTCCAGCGTCATTGGCCGTCCAAGGAGTTCTATCGCCGAAATCATAGAAGAGGTGTTCAGCCAGTCTGGGTCAGGTACAATGGGGACAAATGTAGAAGTTGAGGTTTCATAAGATAGGCCCGATGGGTTGAATTTCGTGGAACAGACATCAGGACTAAATTTGACTTTCTTTTCGGGAGTCTTTTGATTATCTGTTTTCGAGGGCTTCGGGTCACTTGGGTACGCATAGTTTTCTTCCCGCAAGTGAACTATAGTAGGACGCGATGATGAAGGTGGTGTTAATGTTGTCAGGTCTACTAGGTCGACATGATGGCTTTCCATTTCTACGGTAGTTGCTTCTAACGTTGAACATGCTGGGACTAAACTAGGTGGACCAAATTCTGGAGCATCACGATCTTCATCAGTTAAATCAACTACACTGGTGAACACTCTCTCACCTAGCATCTTGGGAGGCTGCCTAGTTCGCATAGGTCTGGTGTTCTGACGTGTATAAATTTCTGACAATTTTTTCGAGGGTGGTGATTTCATTGGTGATGACGCCTTTCTTTTAGCGGTACCGGACAATTTCTGTGTTTTCGTGGTACGGTCAGGGTGTATTTGTTTGGATTCCGTCCCCGCCATGGCGATTGGTTCTTCAGCAGACTTGGAAAACTCTCCTCCGGGATTCTCTGGGAGAAACGGCATTTTTTTACACGCTTTATTGGCCTTCTCCATAGTGCCCAAGTGAATCAACTGTGGGATCGCTTGTGAGTCTCTTTCATTATCGCCAGAATCTAAGTCGATCAAAGGAATCGGATCTAAATCGACCTTCTGATCAACGTGGTCTGATATTTCTAGCTTAGGATCTGTTCGTTCGGAGATTAGGTGTTCGTCTGGTTTTGTAGCTTCGAGTAATGTTTTATCCTTGAGGTCTTTTAGTGAAATTAAGTCGCTATAGTTGTCGTCTGAAATCTCTTCATGTGGTTCGATCATCACTCCGGGTTCATTTAAACGACTTTTATGAAGGTCGGCTTTGCCCGACGGGCTTGATTCATGGTCACTTTCGAGGCCTATCGGGGTTCTCAGTCTCTTTCTCTGGTCTTCTTCCTCTCTAAGAAGAGTTTCCCTCGAGCTGTTCATGGCCGCGTTTCGTCTCGCAATATCAAACTCTTCGAATTTCCACTGAAGATTTCTTTTCTTTTGGGTTGTTCTTGAGCTTTTAAATCCGACATTTCTTGGTGGTTTTGCAGTTTTCCTCAATCCTTTAGTCGCATAAAATCTAACCAGTTGGTCTCGTTTTCTTGGACTTGGTTTCTTCTGAGTGCACTGTCTTTTAATGGCTAAATCAGATTTACGTATTATTTTACCATTTTTTAAAGTCACAGTGTGATCTGATTCCCTTACGATTTCGTCCTTGAGTACTCTATAGTATGGTTCATTTTTTGGTTCTATCCTTGATTTTTCGATAAACAATGGTCTTACCCGACGGGTTGTTCAGAATTGAGTCCTTTATGCCCAAGGCATCTCTTTTTTCTGACCGAGAGAGCACTTTTACTGGGGATCCAGCACTGGTTGGTACATATCTCACAGCATTTGAGATATCCTCCGAGGATGATGAGTTTTCATCTACATCTCCATCTTCTATATCGTCGGGGGCGTCCCAGTCGTGTCTTCGCTCTCGGCTCATTAGTTTTTGCCCTTATCTAGACATAACAAAGTTTTATTCCAATCAAGGTTATTCGAAGAGGGTGATTTGACCAAATTATGCCAGATGGTGTTAGGGGATCTACCAAAATGTGCTTCGAAAGGAGAGCAGTTAAGCGACTGCTGGGTTACTGTTCTTAAGCATTTTATTATTTTCAGGAGTGCAGATTCTAGTGAAGGTTTTGGACGTTCTTGTGCCATAACCAAGAGTCTTTCCTTAATGGTCCTGATTAGATGTTCCACTAGTCCGGTAGCTCTATGATCACCCACTGGGCTAAATATCACCTTTATGTTGTGATCGTGGCAGAATTCTCTAACTTCCTTGGAGATAAAACCAGATCCTTGATCTGTTCTAATGGTTCTAGGTATCCCGTGTAAAGCAATGTATTTACTAAGGAAGTTTATTATAGATTTGGCCGATGTGCTGGATGTTATTTGAGCTGATGGGAATTTTGAAAATCTGTCAACACACACCAATATGTATTTTTTTGTTCCCCATACTAAAGGTAACGGACCGGCGAAGTCTAATTCCATTTCTTGGTTTGGCTCTTCGACCATTGGGAGTTCCCCTAGGGTATTGTGTTTTATAAGAGGTTTCAAGTTTTTACCTGCTTTCACGCACTCAATACAGTTCTCGCCGTGGACTTGGATTTCACGGTAAATTTTCGGCCACCAGATGTATTGAGTTGCCAGACTTTTCATTGCGAACTGGCCGGGGTGAGCTTTGTGAAGTCTGTTGAGTATAGTCGATCTTAGGCATGCTGGGATTACTAATCGGTTGTCAAGATAAAGACATCCTCCACTGACATGTAAATTATTTAAATATGATTTGTAGTAGTTTCCCAGTTGTAGAATATCCTGTTTTCGGTCTTCCTCGATTGCTTTGATTATCTTTTTCAGAACTAGATCTTGTTTTGATAAGAGGGACATAAATTTTGAATCAAATATTTCCGGCCAAGAGAAAGGGAATATGTTAACTGTTTTCTTTTTACTAGGTGATCTTTTCTCGGGATTATCCGACGGGTTACTAGTAGTTGGTGTTAAAACGTCCGTGTTTTCTTTAGTAGTAAGTTCTTTTTGTTGGTTAAATTCAATTTGTTCTGCCATTTCTTTCAAGATGTTAAAATTCGTTAAAAAAATCGTTTAATTTGCAAGATGAGTCACACTGTTCTGTTCGCGAGTGAGAATTTTGACACACTGAAATATTTGAATAGTTAGCTATCGCTTGGAAAGTTTCGGCGGCATTAGCAATTCGATTCTCACGTTCTATTTCTTGACTGGTCATATGATCTGTTGACTGGCCAATCGTATTACAGGAAGTGACGTCATGTGCTAAGAAATGTTGAGATAATTTATTTCTTATTTGCGCCCACGAATTTTTTGGCATTAGATGATCAAAACCTAGGAGCGTACTAATCTGATTTACTGAAGCGATAACAAACTTTTCGTCATCCAGAGAAACTGGTACGGGTTCACCCGATGGGTGTCGGGATATATAATCAACAAATCCCATATCTTTACCGGGTAAATGTTCTACAGTAAAGTCGAACGGTAAAAGTTTATCCGCCCAACGGGTGAGACGTGATTGGGCCGTTTTGGTGTATTTATCGTCTTTCAGTGCTCCTATTAGGGCTTTGTGGTCTGTTAAAATTGAGAATTGTTTACCCAGTAGATAATTTTTAAAATGATCTAGTGCCCACACTAATCCCAGTAGTTCGAGTTCATTAGTGCTGTATTTTAATTCGGCAATATTCAAAAATCTGCTAGCAAACGCTACTGTCTTCCAATTCCCCCGATGGTCTTGTTCGATGGACGCGCCCAGTCTTAAATGTGAGGCATCGCATTTCACCCGAGTGTTCAGTTTTACATCGAAATGGTGGTTCGTCACCGTATTACAAATTTCGTTCTTGATTTTTTCAAACGCTTCCGTATGTACTGAGGACCACTTAAATGGTTTATTTTTTTGCATAAGTTCTCTGAACGGTGTTGATAGGGATGCTAGGTTTGGTATAAACTTATTAAATTGGTTAATCGATCCCATTAATGATCTGATATCTTTGATGCAGTTTGGTTCTTTTAGATTTCTAATTGCGTCAGATTTATGTATTAATGGTGTCGTCCCTTTTGCGTCGATTTTGAATCCCAACTATTCTATGTTGTGGGTTAAAAATGTGCATTTTTCCCATTTTATGGCTAGTCCCTCGTCATCTAGCGTTTTTAACACATTAATGACTAGCTTTTTATGTTCTTCCTCGCTACCCACGGTGGCGATTAGTATGTCGTCAAGATAACAATGGGTATTTGGTAGTTTTTCCGTCAAACGGTCCATTATTCGTTGAAATTCATTAGGCATATCACCTAGTCCGTAAAATCCGGTTTTGAAACGGTATGAACCCGTTACTTCTCCCCCCACAATGTTAAAATTACACTGATTGCTTGCCTTTTTAGAAAGCGGTATTTGGCTGTAGGCGTATTTTAAATCTATCGATGAAAACCAGATGTTTCTTTCATCGTGGCCGCTAATAGTAACTGCTACGTTGTCAATTAGTTCAAATAGATTCGGCATTTGATATCTATTGCGAAATATCTGTTTGTTTAGTAGTTTTGAGTTCAATGCTAGTTTGATTGATCCGTCCCTTTTTGCTGTAATCACGATGGGGGAGATAAAACAATCTTCAGAGCATCTAGATAGTTTTTCGATGTGTCCGTCTCTTAATAATTGGTCGATACATAGTTTGACTTTGGGGAGAAGATGGATCGGGATACGTTTCCCTTTTACCTGTATCGGTTTTATCGGTTCGTTAAAATAAGTATTAACTACGTAGTTTTTTGATCTACCAGTTCTTTTTATGAGGTCTGAAAAGTGCTTTGATATGTATAATTTAAACTCACTTTGAGATGGTGTCTCTTGGTTTTGATCCTGTTGGTTGTCCGATGCGAATTTTATTTGATTGACGTTTATCCCAATGGGTGATACTTTCTGATCTTCCCGTGACTTTAACCCGTTGGGTGGAGGTTGTTTCTGAAATACTACAATGCCCAAATTCGGTAAGATGTCGTTTCCTAGTAGATTTCTTTCAGCCCCTTCAGTGATAAAAAGTTTTTGGTCATTAGCCTCCCATCCTTTCGATCGGATTTTCACTCGAACTCTTCCAATGATATTGATCGTACTCCCGAAGCACTGGTATGCTTTCTTTGTTATTTCGTCCACAGGTTCTAGCTTTAAAAATCTATCTCGTA